GCGGGTGCATAAGCAAATGTGGTGAAGAAAGCTGATGGTGCCTGGCTGTCAAAAGATATAACGTCTGGGGTCTTAAAGGCTTTAAGATAAACAAGGAGCCATCTAGCTCAGAAGCAAAAAAGCCCACATGGAAGAAGCACACCAGCCTGCATGATAACGAGGTGTTGATACGATCAGATATCAGGTATCAAAGACCCAGAACAAAAAGTCATATCATTGTGAATGAGGGTGAGTGTGGAGTGGAGACCCAAAGCCCATCTGTAGGCAACTGGACATCCCCTTACAGAAGGGTTGCGGGGAAGAGACGAACCAGTCAGGGTGCAGTGTAGCAATGATGAAACAAACAACTTTCCTCTAGTTCTTTAATGCTTCTTTCACCCCACTATCATGACCCCAATTCTACCTTACAAATCCAGCTAGATCAGAGCATGTACACTGGTACAGATAAGAACTGGAAACAGGGAATCCAGAACAGATAAACCCCTCAGGACCACTAATGAGAGTAGTGAAACCAGGAGGGGAAGGGAAGGTGGGAGGAGAAAGGGGAAACCAATCACAATGATGGATATATAACCCCCTCCCAGGGGAGTGGACAACAGAAAAGTGGGTGAAGGGAGACATCGGTCAGTGTAAGACATGAAAAAATAATAATAATTTATAAATTATCAAGGGTTCATGAGGGAGAGAGGGTGGGGGAGAGAGGAAGGGGGAAAATGAGGAGCTGATACCAAGGGGCTCAAGTAGAAAGAAAATGTTTTGAAAATGATGATGGCAACAAATGTACAAATGTGCTTGATACAATGGATGGATGGATTGTGATAAGAGTTGGACAGGCCCCTAGTAAAAAATTTTTTTACACAATTGATGTATGTATGGATTGTGATAAGAGTTGTATGAGCCCTTAATAAAATGATTTTTTTAATGTTATGGCCAAAGCAGTAAAGATGGTTAATTGTATTAAATCTCATCCTTCGCATACATGTGTCTTTGTGTTCTGTGTGACCAATGGGAAGGGGACACACATTTCTGCTGCACCCACTCGGGTTCTTGCCTCCATGGAAGGGGCCTTGTGTAGTTGTTTCCATTGCAAGCTGAACTCCCCACATTTTCCAATTTTCCTCAAAAGATTGGCAGACAGATGACAGCTATTCAGATTTGGGTATTTGGTAGGCATTTTCTTGCAAGTGAGTAAAGTGAGCTTGTCATTCATAGCAACGGATGAAAACTGACAGCTGATGATGATAAAATCTGTGCTTTCAGGCAAAAATTAGAATTTTAAAACACTGCATCTTCTTCCATGAGTGCCATGGCATCTCAATATTAAAAGGCTTTCCTAGTAAGATCATTGGCAAAATCAGCCACTGTGATATTTAAAGGTTTCAGTCTTTCATAGGCATGGGAGGGGAGCTTCAGGAGTTTGTGGGGAAATTCCATTATCTTCTCGTTGCATTTTCCCATGAAATTCTGAAGCCCCCTTGGATAGATTTAAACTTTTAAAATTATTATTTGCACTATAGCCACTTAAATGATCTCAAATGATTTTCACTCATTAGCCCAATGATTGGATGGTTCAATTTGTCTTCCTCTCGTGGCCTTAGCTTTTTTCATTCCACAGGCCCACGCCACCCACGCCACCCCACCCCTGCCCAGCCCAGCTGACTACAAATCATCTTTTGTCATGACGGATTTGCCCATTTTAGATATTTCATCAGCGTGAACAAGGAGAACCCCTTTTGGGTCTGGCTAAGTTCACCCCTGTTCTGGCCTGTATCGGAGCTGCAATTCTCTCAATGGCTGAAGAACATGCATGTGTCCCAGCTTCTCTGTCTGTTCCTCTGGGTTGCTTCGCCCGCTGGGCTCTGGGCTTAATGCTGCCATGAACATCATTGGTGTGCACGTGTTGTGAGGGGCTGAAAATAGATAGCTTTTTAAAAAGGGTTTTGTTTGTTTAGCATTGAAAAGAAAACTGTTTTAAATGAATTATATATTTATTTAGCATATATATTTGATGGCATAGAGACTATGAGTTGGGCTGTTAACTACAAGGTAAGCAGTTCAAAATCTTGGGGCGAAAGAAACTGCTTTCTACTCCCATAAAGAGTTAGTCTTGGAAAGCCACAGGGGAAGTTCTCCTCTGCTCTACAGGCTCACCGTGAGTCAGAATGGACTCAGTGGCAGTGCATTTGTGTTTACATCAATAAATATATGTATAATTCTAATTAGAAGTTAGCCTTCCTGGACACTGGTACCACTAAGCAGCACCCTCCCCCAGAACCATTCATATTATTGTTCATGACAGTAATGGCATCACTTTTTAAGTATTTGGTTTGTACTTTAAGTATTGGTAGGTGCTGTGATGGGATCAAAGTGATCCTAATAGTGGTGTTTATGTTTTATTTATTTACTTATCACTCAAAGCCATTTTAGGAGTAGGAAATTCTTTCATCTTTGCTCCCCATATGTGGGGGCACAGGTTCCCAGGGATAGAGCATATTGCCCTAGGCCACAGAGTATCGAGCAGTGAGGCTGGACACAAACCTAGGTTTCTCATCACCACAGCTGGGCTCTTAAATGTTAGACTGCCTCTCATGAGCTAACGCCCCTTCTCAGGGAGACCTCTGTCTCATACACTGTAGACCAGTCTCCCGCTGTCTCTTAACCTGCATACAATAGTAGCCTTGCTCAGCACCACTCTCCTCATTTCCACCCATACCTCCCTAACCAGAACATTCTCCAGAGCCAAGAGAGTGATTTTCCTACAGCCTAAGTCAGAGAAATCTCTTCGATCCCTTCCCCAGACACCTTTCAACTTCTTTAACTTGGCCTTTCGCCCTCTGTCCCCTCAGAGCCCCCACCACTCTAGCTCTCATTCCCAATATGACGCATGCAGCCTTCCGATCCTCAAACCCAGCAAGACCGCTCGTTCCACCTTAGGATCTTTACACCAGCAGTGTCTTTGGCCAAAATCCTCTTCCTTGAATTTTTCCATGCTCAGTTCATTCTTGTCACACAGTTTAAATGCCACTTCCTCAGAAAGGTTGCCTTCTTCTTCTTTTTAAATACTTTTATTGGGGGCTCTTACATCTCTTATCGCAATCCACACATTCATCCACTGTGTCAAGCATATTTGCACATATGCTGCCATCGTCATTTTCAAAGCATTCTCTTCCCACTTGAGCCCCTGATATCCACTCCCCATTTATTCCCCCTTCCTCCACCACCCACCCTCCCTCATGAACCCTTAATAAGTTATAGATTATTATTTTCATATCTCACATCGTCCACCGTTGCCCCTCACCCACTTTTTCATTATTCATCCCCCTGGGAGGGGTTATAGGTTGATCCTTTGTGATCAATTCCCCGTTTCTCTCCCCACCCTCCCCTAATCCTCCTGGTATCTCTATTATCATCATCATCATCATCATCATCCTTGGCCCTGAGGGGTTTATCTATCCTGGATTCCCTGTGTTGTGGGCTCTTATCTGTAGCAGTGTGCATGTTCTGGTCTAATCTGGTTTGTAAGGTAGAATGGAGGTCTTGATAGTGGGGCGAAGGAAGCACCAAAGAACTATAGGACAGTTGTGTGTTTCATTGGTGCTATACTGCACCCTGACTGGCTCATCTCTTCCCTGTGACCCCCTCTGTGAGGTGAAGCCCACTTGTCTATAGATGAACATTGGGTCTCCACTCCATGCCCAACCCCCATTCACCTTGGGTAGGATTTTGTTCTGGGTCTTAGATGCCTGATACCTGATCCCATCGACAGCTCATGCATGATCACACAGGCTGGTGTGCGTCTTCCATGTGGGCTTTGTTGCTTCTCAGCTAGATGGCCGCTTGTTTATTTTCAAGCCTATAAGACCCCAGACACTATATCTTTTGATAGCCAGGCACCATCAGCTTTCTTCACCACATTTTCTTACGCACCCATTTTGTCTTCAGCGATTGTGTCAGGAAGGTGAGCATCACAGAATGCCGGATCGTTAGAACAAAGTGCTCTTGTGCTGAGGGAGTACTCGAGTCGAGGCCCAATGTCCCTCTGCAACCTTAATTCTTAACATATAGATATGAATACATAACTCGATTCCCATTATATATATATTTACATATGTACATGCCTGTATTTCGACCTCTATAAATGTTCTCTGCCTCCTGGTTCTTTCATCTATTTCCAGAAAGGCCTTCTTGATCCCCTTCTCCAAGAAGCCAACCAAGCGTACTTGTTACAGTCTCTGCTCCAGGCTTATTGCTCTCTGACATTCTCCTTGCTCTTTTCCCCCTTTCCGGCTCCTCTCACTACAGTGGAAGATTCAAATGCTAGATGCTTTGTTTATCTCTTCTACCACAGAAACCCCAGAACCTAGAACTGCACTCCCAAACCCAACAAAGGCATCGCTATTGAGTCAATGCTGGTTCATGGCGATCCTGGGTGTTACAGAGTAGAACTGCTCCCTAGGGCTTTCTTGACACTAATCTTTACAGAAACTGATGACTACACCTTGCTTCCAAGGTGCCACTGGGTGGATTCAAGTCATCAACTTTCAGGTTAGTAGTCAAGTGCAAACCATGTGTGGCACCCAGGACCTTTAGCACAGATAACACAAAACAAAACGGACTGCCATTGAGTCAGTTCCAACTCATAGTGACCCTAAAGGACAAGGCAGAACTTCCCCTATGGGCTTTCTAGGCTGTAACATTTTCCGGGAGTAGAAAGCCCTGTCTTTCTCTCAGAGCAGGTAGAGGTTTTGAACTGCTAACCTTGTGGTTAGCAGCCTAACATGCAACAATTATGCCACCAGGGCTCCTTTTGGCATAGGTAAGACCCTCAAATTAAGTACTAATGGTATGAATGACTGTCTTTTCCTCTCTCTTCTTTTTAGAATGAGACATAAGCTTTTGAAGGTGGATAACTTCCAGAAATGGCAGACAATCAGGAGGTTTTCTGAACCTTCCCCCCCCTGTAGAATTCTAGCCAAGGGGCGCAGGCAGGCAACTCTCACCCTTGTAGGTCAGCAGGGCTTCATCCAGGAACTCTGCAGCCTTTCGGAAGTGCTGGGCGATGTCCACCCCGGGTAAGTCATCCACCTCCACACCCAGGTACTGGATCTCCAGGCCTGTGTAGAACCCCAGCCCCGTGTAAACGCCGGTGCCGTGAGCAGCATTCAGGACATGCGTGATCCCCAGCCTCTTCAGCCGCCCTTTGTTGACAGCCACGCTCCTATGGGGAAAGACAGGGACATCTTTGGCAGAGTCCAAGTTAGAAAGGGGCCCTGCTGTAGGACCGCCATCTGTGAGAGCCTGCTTCCATCAGGCCAGGGGGACTCCAGCTGGGCGAGCCCCTCCTCTGGCTGCAGGGGTAGTTGGTGCCAGGTTGACTCACTCAGAGCAACCGCACGTGTGCAGAGAGGAGCGACTCCAGAGGGTCTTCAAGGACCTGACCTTTCATAGTCCAGCCTGTCCTCTAAGGCACCGCTGGGTGATCCTGAACTTCCAACCTTTGGATTAGTAGCCTCCTTGGACGCTGATGCATGCAGGGCCCACCACAAACAAGGTCTAAGAAGCCAATGACCCAACAAGGGCAAGACAGAGCAGCTATGGAGACCAGGCAGAGGAAGGCCGGTGAAGAGGAGAACAAGACCAGAAACCTTTGAAAGGTCTAGAGCAGTGGTTCTCAACCTGCGGGTCGTAGGTTGCCCGATTCATAACAATAGCAAAATTACAGTTATGAAGTAACAACGAAAATAATTTTATGGTGGCGGGGGTGGGGGATCACCACAACATGAGGAACTGTATTAAAGGGTCGTGGCATTAGGAAGGTTGAGAACCACTGCCTTAGAGCATGCCTGGTCTAAACACACCACCCCTTGGGATGGACATTCATCAAGACACAAAGATGGCAGACAAACATCCAACAGGAAGATGCTGTTTTATGTTGACATGTGTATATATTTTCCAAAGTGCTTTCATATGCATTAATTTTTTAACCTAATGAAGTTCAGAAGTAAATAGGACAACTACTTTTATTCTCATTGGAAGACAATAAAAATGAATCAAAGAGTGATGATGCTCATATAAGTTCCCAGCACTGAGAAAGCAACAGACACGGGGCAAGAGCCAGTGATTTTGAGTCCTGGTCTCTCGTGCTGTTTGTTGTCACCAAAGAAGTACAGGGTCGCTGTGAGTGGGAATCAGGGAGTTTGGTTTGGGTTTGGAGTTCTAAGAAGTTCTGAGGACAAGGTTGTCCCAGGAAGAGCAGAGCCCGGCAGTTAGGGATATCTGGAGATCCCTGGGTTTCCTGGTGACTGTGGATGTGGATGTGAATGTTTCTGGGCCTACAGATCCAGTGGCCTAGGAAGTTAAGCTTTGGGTTGCTAACCAAAAGATTGGTGGTTCAAACTCACCAGCTGCCCCATGGGTGAACGGTGAGACTGCCCTCTTCAGCCTTACTGGGTCCTGCAGTCACTATGAAACAGGATGGCCTGGACAGCAGTGGGTTTTATTCAGTGCCCACCTCTGGGCATTGGGCTCTAGACAACTGATTATTTCACGATGGAGTACAAGATCCAATGTCCAAAGCTATTTTCCCAGCAGCCTACCCAATCTACCTCCTTCTCTTCGGGATATAGGAATAATTAAACAAGATGACTATATCATTAAGTAGTCAATGGATCAGCCAATATTGGCTTCACTGATGAACCTATCAGTACCAATGATGCGTGGGAAAGACCCTGAAGGAATGGGACGTGAGTGAGTTGTTTCTGCTTTTGTTCTGGAAATCATTGCTGAGCTGATTAAGGTGTTTCAAAAACTGACATTTGTCCTGGTGGTTATAAAAGGAATTAATGTTTATAATAGGACGTGTACAATTCAAAGGAAGTCGAAAGAAGATAATGCCAGTCATTTATAAAACCACCTCCCAGAAAGAAAAAGTGCTGCTAACATTCGATCACATTCCTGGTCTAGTTTGTTGGTGTAAAAGCATGTATACACCTCTGTGTATGATTCAATTAGCATTGTGCTGAATATGTATTCTTTTGTACCTCATTTTTCATATTATATTATGAACATTCTCCTATGTTGAATATATATATCAGAACCATCAGGGGTTCTGAGTGTCCTGTTTTATGGTTCTGACAGGTGCCAGGAGAGGGGTGACAGCTGGGGAATGAGTTGGTAGGGACCTGTAGCCCAGAGAGGGAAGCCCACAGAAGCAGCTGGAGGGACCTGACTCTGATGTCTATGGCAATAGGGCAGGGAATAAGCACCCAGCTAGCTTTACGCCTGGTGACCTCTGTGTGCAGGCTAGTAGATGACCTTTCTCCAAGACCAGGGCTGGGCAAGTGGTCAGCCAGCTTCAAGTTGCTGGACGCACCTATTGGGTCCTTTGGTGAAAGGTGGGAGAGCTTCATCGCTCCTAGGCACTAACCAGAGGGGTGGGACAAAGGGCCATGGCCCCCAAGAATCAGACTCACTTCTCAGCTATGAAGACATTAGGCCAGACCTCATCCACCTCATTCCTGGGGACCTCCTGGCGGTCCCGGAGCAGGGCCCGCTGCAGGTCCAGGACACAGGGGGTGTTGTACAGGCTGGTGTCATCCATCTTTTCCTTGACACGGTTGTACAGGTCCTCCACCAGCAGCTGCTCGGCAGACTCCAGCAGGCCGGGGCAATCGGAGGATGCTCTGACGCCTCGTGGCTTGAGTTCTGCAGGAGAGAGACATCGTCCTCATCAGAGGGGTAGGAAGACTCTGGCTTTCCCAGCTACTTGGGCAAGTCAACTCTTGGCCACTTTGCCAGCTGCATTGGCTAAAAGGACTTCAGGCAGGCCAGGGGGGCCACTGCACCGCCCTGGCCGCTTGTGATCAGGGTCAGCAGAAGCATGTGTAGGAATGGGTGAATGGGGATGTTTCCCTGGTTCCCCGGCCCATTATTTCCTCTCAAGCTGAATGGTACCTTGGACTGAAGTCTTGAAATACTAGGTATCTGTCTGAGCCATGCCGCTAACTCCCACAGTGCCTGCTACAAAGTGGATGCTCAGGAATATTTACTGAATGAATAAATCATATTCTTTCATAACATAATTCACTCTTGAGATGAAATGCAAAGAGCCTAGGGAAAAGTAACACTCACAGCAATCACTGCCACCACATGCCCGTTTCACTCCCTTATTTATTTTAGTCTCCGTGTCCCCGACTGGAATGTGAGCACCCGTCATCCCCAGCCTTTTGGCTCTTGGACAGGTTGGGCTGGAGCTTCAATGACAGACTCCACAGGACCCAGGCCCTTTCTGTGCAACAGGCGGCCAGGCAAGCTGAGGTTCCGAAGGAACCCACGTTCTAACTCCTCCGTGTCTGGGCTCAACCTTCCTTTTTCTCTTCCCCATAGGTTTGTTCAAGACTTTTCAAGTAGGATGTTTTCAGTTTCTAAGAAAGCAGACAAGACGGCGGGGGAGGTATAGCTTTCGCTTCACGGCGCAGCCCAAACTGCTGAGCAGAAGGAAAGCACAGAGGAGGCTACGCAGGCGCGACGCGACCTTTGGGTGAGCCATCCTTCCTGCTGGCGGTGGGAGTGCGCTCCGATTCTGGGAAATTGATCTGACCCGCCGTCGTCCAAGGAAGGAGCTAATAACAGGTGTCTATAAGCGAGGCTTGCTGCTCAACGACCGGGAATTCTGGGAGTCCTCATTTTTTTCAGAGCTAGGAATTCTTATTGCCTTCAAGTTTATCTCTTCCCTCTGGAAACCACCTGGTGGCCCCCACACCCTGTCTGCTCTCCGCTAAAAATGCTCGCTGAAGCCTTTCAAAGGCACGAAGAAGAAAACAGCCACAATCCCGGTGCTTTTTTGTTTAAAAATAGAAGCCTTCCTATTCTTTCTACCATCCAGCTTTCTCCTCCAGCTCTCTGGGGTCTGAAACTCCAAAAGTTGAAGGCCCTCTCCTTCCTTCCTTCCTTCCTTCCTCTACTTGGATAATAACATGCCCCCACCCCCACCCCACCTCCACCCACCTCCGCAACCCCGGGCCTCATTAAAATATACAGTGTTGCCTTCCTCAGCAGGTTGCGGTTTTGATCTCGTCTTTTTTGATTTAAAAATCAACATCCCAGTCCCCTCATCCACACCCGTAACTCCACTGTCTCCCTACACTCCTGGTTCAACCCGGCCTACTTAAAGTTGACCTCTCTCCCAGCACCCAGTCTTCCCTTTGATTTTCTACAACCCGGGTTTTCTTTAGAAGAAATATAAACCCAAACATGTCCCCTTCTTCGCTCTCTCTCAGATGTGCAGCCTGTGAGACTTTCATGAAATCTGAAAGCTCTTCAGCATCCATTTGTACCCCAGGGTCACCAGTGAACAGGGCACTGCTTGAAAATGTTGACCTACTATGCCTTCGTTCTTCAGGAATACATTCATTCACCCT